ATATATATATATATATATATATATATACATATATATATATATAGTGAAATGATCAACAACATATATACGTACATGTAGTAAAATAATTTGATCAGCTTTGCAAAATACATTGGTCAAGAACACATTTTGATTTTTAAATATCTACCCCTCCATAATATATTGTTCAACCACATATCTAGCCTTACACACACGTCTAAACATCACCATGGTGCTCAAGGACGACGCTCTGCATTCGGAGATACTGAAGAATCTGCTGACCAACCAGTCACCGCAAACACTGGTCATAGTCAGTGGCGATGGTAACCCCAACAACGGAGGAACAACCTTCCCGTGGTGCTGTGAAGAAGCGCTCAAGCGCAAGTGGAAGGTGGAGGTGTATGCGTACGCCATGTCGTGCAGTAGCGAATACGCTCGATTACGGAAGAGGTGGGCCATGCGTGTGTTTAACCTGTGCGAGTGAACGCGTGTATGCGTGTGCGTGTGGATGAGGGAATGATGTATATATATATATATAATATATATCCATATATACATATATGCATACATACACACACACATATATATATATATGTATATATATATATATACATGTATGTATGTATGTGTATATATATATATATGTATATATATATATATATATGTATGTATGTATGTGTATATATATATATGTGTGTGTGTGTGTGTGTATATATATAGTATATAATATATGTAGGTATATATATAGGAAAAATGTATATATTTTTTTATGGAATTTCTACGCTTCTGCCTGTAGTTACTTACCCTCATGTATTGATTTCTATACCACTATTGGCAGCCGATAGAACTCTTATACATTTCTGCGCCGTTTAGATGTGCACACTCTCATATCTGTGTTAATGTCCTCCTCAGCCTACTCCCAATTGCCTTCAATTGATGACCTTCACTTACTTGGATAGTTCAACAAAAACCCTTAAACCCTAAACCCTAACCCTGCTTCTACTCACAGGTACCCCCAACTGATGACCATCACATACTTGGATGACTTCCAACACGTCATCTCATACATTCTCGTGCGACCAAGACTGCGCACAGTCAAGTCAGTCTCCAATCTAACATCACCTGTATGTCACATATAGCCAGTTCATTATATTATTAATTAATACAATATATATATATATATATAGTCAGCTCATTTTATTATCAATTGAATTAATGTATGCGAGTATGGTAGCAGTTGCTGCCTTTGTTTTTATAGTGTGATTGTTGTTGGTTTGAGTGGTAGTGTAGACCCACTAACTATGATTGATCGTGATGAAGCTCAGTGTCCTGTCTGACATCGCCCGCATGTCGATAGCGTTATTGCATTTGCTTTGTATAGTGTGTGATTGCGAGAGCTTTAGTTGTATCTAATGTTAGAGTATGTAATTGTGACTGATATGATTGGTAGTGTAGTACTCCTCACCCATTGCATGATTGTAATTGGTAGAGTATTACTACTAACCAATTGAATGTTTCGTTTCTTTTCGACAGTACGGCACGGGAGTGCCACCGTCGGCAGTGATTCCAATGGACGAACTCAGAGCTCAACGAGAAGAGAAGGCGAAGAAAAAGGTACAGTGTCCCAAAACCTTATAAACCCTAAACCCCTAATAAGAGCTGGTCTTAACAAATGATCAATCGTCTGATACTCCGTAATCCGGCTTGTGGCCGGTGGTTGCTATTGTAATAATACGTACTAATGGCCGACTTTCATATATTATTTATATATCATCATGTGCATATGTAGTTTTATATATATATATATATATATATACATGTATATTGATATTTATAATTATAGATATATGCGTATATATCTA